GAAAGTGTTACGATTCGTACTCGATTCTACGTTATAGATTCGTTAAAGTTTCGATTTATACTCGATTACTTTTTTATACGCAAAGCGAAAATCAACTTTTAATACTTTTCGGATTATAAAAGTAGCTTTGTTATTATTATAATTATTAATCCGTTTACGAGCTAAATTACTTAAGCTAAAGTAAGCGATAAAACAAATCAATACGACAAAGCCGTCGATCGCTTAAAAAAGTAAAGTATAAGCTTTATTTATTACGATAAGTCTTCGAATAATAGCGATAGCGACTCGGAAAATTAATAACCGGCTTTATTAAAAGCGTTAAAATCGATATATTAAAAGCTTTTTGCTTTTCGCTTAGTTTCGAAAGCGAAACGTTGTAGCATTAAAAAAGAAACGACTTTATTACTTAAAAACAATTTATCGATTTTCTTGCTTTTACGGAATACGATCTTTTAATAACTTATTAAATAAATACCGTTAACACCGATAACTTTATAACCCGCTATTACGATTATATCGATTATTAAAATTCGATATTTTATCGAACTCGAAAAAAGATCTTTTCGAATTCGGCTAAAGTATTCGATATATACAAGATTAAAGATAAAAAGATCAAGCTAATAAACGAAGTAAACGGAATAAGAATAGCATTAAGTAGCAAAGTTAATTAGTATAAGCTATTAAAAGCAAAAGATACTTTATAAAAGCAAGTAAAAGAATACAAGCAATACTTCTTTTTGCGTATTACTAATATATCGAAAGGCTTTCGAATTACACCCGAACGTATAGCGAACTTAAATATCGTTAATACTTTACGGCTTAAAGAAAAGGATTTATTGAAAAAGATAATATTAAATAAAAAAAAATCAATCGCATTCGCTTAACAAAAGTGCGATAAGTTTTACGACGACGTTTTACTTTCGATTAAGCTTAAAACTATTTTATATACGGCTTAGCAAGCTTTTAACTATTCGTGTCCGAAAGCTTTATAGCTTATTATTATTAAAATGCTTTAAAATAAGCTTAATAAAAGAGTTTTAAAGTATTACGAAAAGCCGTACCGGAATCAATAGTTTTTAATAGCTAAAAAGCAGCCGAGCTAATACAAACTTATCAACTTAGCAACTTTACTTAATACAATTATATAAAAGGACGCTAATCTACTTTTAATTATAAATAAGTTTGCCGAAGAGTTTTTTAGTTATTAGATAGCTAGCTTAATCGACCTTTATTCGAGCTACGATTAGTAAACACTTTATCAATCGAATAAAGACTTTACCGCTTTCTTTATACTTTTAAGTCTCTTTCGATATATTACTTTTTCGCAAAGTGCTACGAACTCGATAGCTTAATTCGTTCGAACACTTAATTTTATCTTAAGACTTTTGCAACTTAAAGTCTTTATATTATTTATCGATGATATTAAAATAAAAAGATTATAAAAAGACTATTCCGACGAAAAAGCATTCTCGAATATACGCCGATTAATGCTTAAATATATTTAAAACATCGATAAGATTTTAAAATAAATTAAGCGCGTTAAAGCTACGATTAAAGAAAAACCATAATTCTATCGAAATAAAATAAATGTAATAAGATTCGTATACAATTCGAAAAGTCGAAAACTTATTACGGATAAAGTTATTAAAATTAATAATTAAAAAACCTT